GGATGCCTGGGGTCTAGTCTGATACCCTTCCCAGGGGAAGGGCTCTGTCCTCAAGGCTGTGCCGTTGGTACCACTGCCTTACTTACGGTTTCGGCTACTGTTCTTTGGGGCTGTCGGTCTGCTCCAGCAGCTCACAGGACTGTGAAGACCTCTCATCTAGTTTCCCAGACAAACAGGTGGACACATGGAGTAAGGAGCAGCAGGGAAGGAATATGCGGGATGAGGGGAGAAGGACGTGAGCTACCTGCCCCTCTCCGGCTCGGCTCTCAGCCAGTCCTCAGTTGAAAAAGGCAACGTTGCTTTGAAAATTCTCCAGACTTTAAGAGCTATTTACCAGGAACCAGAGATGTACGGAAAATATAATGTAATGTCTGTTTACTGATCTACCCCAGCTTAGCTGTCAGCTTGTGGAAGCAAAGTTCTAGTTCCTAGGAAGTGAGGGTGAAAGGTGAGAGTGGGAACCTTACAGAGAAAGTGATGTGGGCAGGGCCTGTTTTCTGCCTTAGGTTTCTATGTAGAACCCTCGACCACACATTCCAGATTCCCAACCACTGCCCTCCCCTTGTCTGAGGTTCTCACACACAGGTCTCCATCTGCTGCTCAGCTCCCCGAACTAGGGCAGAAATTGCTGAAGGTTCTCTGCCCATGAGAAGCATGCCCAAACCTCATAACCTGGGCCCTCGGACTTCCTGGTCTTGGTGCTCGTATGGCTCTTACTTACCTGTTGAGATTTTGCTCAAGGATGTGGTAGGGCAGGCTGCCGAGCTCCTGGTGTGTGTGTGGGGGGGGATGTGTGGCTCAGCTAGCTCTTTGTCTGTCTCTCCATAGGGGACTATGGCACTCCTCTCACAGGACAGTGGTCAGGCTTCACGTCTGCCTCCTGGGTGTCTTCTACCCTTCCTCAGACCGCAGCTCTTTAGGAATAGCAACTACCTCTTTGTTGTACACTTGGCAGGGCCAAGCACTAGAGCCTGGGTTCATGGGATGTGGACTCTCCTTGCCCTCAACTACATCCTGGCATGAGGGTGCTAGGCTGGGCGACTGTCACCTGAGCATCATTCCCCTCATCCCTGTTCTTCTATAGGGGCTTCCTAAGCTGTGTAAGATGCTCCCTGAATGAGCACAAAAATGAGCAATGATGGTAGTGAATTGTGCCAGCCAAGGCCAAGATGTGCCCACAAAGTGGCTTCCCCAGAGCTGTTCTTGGCTGTTGGGACGCGTGGGTCCGCATCTCTTGCCGTGGCCTTTCCTGAGGAGAAATGAAAACAGGCAGGAAGCCAGAGCTCAGGGGCTGTGGCCCTGGGTCCTCCAGATTTGAGAGAGCAGCCCCAGCCTGCCAGATTACATGCCCTGCTGTGTGGATCTGTCCTGGGGAGTAAAAGCCTGTGAGCCTGGGGCTGACACTCAAAGGGGTCCACAGCCCCAGAGAACAGAAGCTCAAGTGTGTGTGCGCACACACACACACAACTATATAAAAGTGGGCTATGAAAAAACTATTTTAAAAGAGCCCCCAGCACAGCCTTTCACTCCGAATCTGTCTTAACAGATTCACCCAAACTGGTTAACGGTATTTGCGGTTTGCAAGATACTACATGTCCCAGGAAAATGACAGACAAGTTATTATCACCTTCCCACTGTCCTCCTGCCCAAACCTGCCTGTGCCGGGCACCCAGCTGCCGGGAGCGGGTGCGAGGAAATTAACAGCCCTGTGCCGCACCCGCCCCTGCCCGCCCTCTCACCCACCACCCTGCACAAGCCCTGCCAGGCTAGGGGCTTCCAGCCAGGCCGGCCCATTTGGACTGGGATGGGGGAGGAGAGTGGAGGAGGGAGGGAGGAGGGGTCAGGAGAGGAGCCGAGGCAGGGGGGACGTCTGCTCCGTTGTTGGGCAAAGTATTTCCTGCAAGCCCCGCGGAACACACGCATCCGCGCAGGCAAGTCCGGACGGCGCCGTGTCAACAGCCGAAGATAAATAAGATTTTATCAGCTCGGAATCTGTTGAAACACATCCATCTAGCGGTTCTAGGGAAGGAGAGGCAGGAGGAGGGCATCAGGGAGGAAGCATACCCTCCTGACATCCTGGAAAGGAGCTATCCACCCCCTGTCCCTTCTCCAGAGCCTGGCTCTGAGGACTGATCCCACAAACTTTGCCGAGGCAGGGGGAGCACCCTGCTGGCAACCTCCTGGTCTCAGGACTTGGGTATCCTGGAGTCCTGTGTTGTTGTGCCCCGCCCCCACCCCGTGGCAGCTAGTTTTACCACCTGATCCTCTGAGGTGTGGGGAAGCTTTGGCATCTCTCCCTGAAACTCCCACTCCTGACCACCACAGATTTAACCTGTGGCTGGTGTGGGGCTGGCAGCTGTGTGCTCCCCAAAGCCCCAGGATCACTGGATTAGGGACTCCATGCAATGGTGCAGACGTAAGGCAAGCCCTTCACCTTGCCCTAGGGCGAGGGGCCTCCCGTATCTTCATGGGCTGGGGCTCTCCCTCCAAGCTGTCCCAGAAGGCTTGACTTCACTTTGAGTCTCTCTGAGAGGAGACTGCCCTTCCGCAGCTGCTGCTTCGGTACCAGGGACAGCTCCTGGCATTTTGAGCTCCTCCCCCAGGGAGGTGCATCTATGGCTCATCCCTTCCTTACCAGGCCTGCTACCCTGCGATGTATCTCTAGCTCCCTCCAGACCCCCGAGGGTCCCACTCTAGGCCATGGAGGGCAGTACCACCAGTGTTTGGGGCGATCCAGCCTACATTCCTGAGTCAGAACAGAGAGCCAAGTGGCCAGACTTCGAAGATTAATCTTTTTGCTGCCTCTGGTGCCTTTGAGCCCAGTGCCACCCCAAAGCCCGCAGGCAAGGCCTGTTTTATGGAATGTCTGCTGCCCACCCTCAGCCCATTTTCTTTAAGTAGCTAGGCCCCACAAAAGTGGGCACTTGGCAATGCGTGGCAATGCCTGCAACTCACAGATTCACCAGGAAGCTGCCTTGGCTGAGGCCCTCTGAGCTCAGGACTAGCTAGGTTTCCCCTCCCCTCTGGAGGCCACATGCAATTGTCTGAGCCTGAGGCTTGTTGGGAAGCTTTCATTTGTGAACAAGCAAAAGGTTGGTCACTTGCTAGTATCAAGTGCTTGCCTGGCCCTGTGTATGAATGTGCTTAATGTTGGGAATCCTCACACTCTGAACCTTATATCTTCCCAAGTGTCTTTTCCAGGGAGGTCACAGTGAGTCAGAGTTAGGATACCTTTACCAAGTACCAGCTGTACCCCCAGCCACTGCATGTTGCTGTTGAAGGATGGGGGGAGGGTGGCTGGGTGAGTAGAGCTGCCTATTTGCCTTCCCTCAGACGCCTGCATTCCAGGGGGTTGTGTATACTGTATACCTGAAGCACAACGTAAGTGCTCAGCAATGCACAGCTCCTGTGCAAAGTTCCCTGAGCCCCAGAGAAGCTCAGTAACCTGCCTCCTACCTGCCAGTCCTGTATCCTTTACCTGCCCAGGTTACTAGCACAGACACTCCTGCTACCCTGGCCCCATAGCTTGCTTCTCTGTCCCCAACTTGCACAGAGGGAGACCAGACTGTGATGGGCCAGCCTGAGGGGAGGCTTTGTGCAGAAAACTAGAGCTCAGATATGGATCTGTAGAGGTCAGGTGTGCCTGTCCAAGTCTCGGGTTTCCCATGTATCCTTGGGCTAGGCCTGTGGCTCTCCCTCAAGAATGTAAGGATGGAGATGCCCCAGAAAGTCAAGCTGACCTTAAGATGAGGCCTTGAACTGCTCCTTGAGAATACAGGCCAGTTCCTTCAGCTAGGGCTCTCTCCGATTTCCAAAACAGCCCCCCAGGTCTTCTGTGAGGTCCCTGTAGTGAGTCTCTTGCTCTTTAAACAGGTGAAAGGGACCTACCTCACTCACCTTCCCCTGCCTTTCCTTCCTTGCATTTGCCTGTGGTATATGCTCTTTCTGCAAGCCCCTTGCAGGGAGCCATAAGCCTATAGGGTTGGGGCAGTCAGGGTTCTCCACTGTCCCTTTTGAAGGAAAGACTTGCTCATGCACCACCTCATCTTTCTGCTTTTGTTAACAGCTCACCATCTCTGGCCTCAGTTTCCTCAATTATCACAATGGAGCATGGAGAACATTTTACAGGGTCATGGTTCTGAGTGGGTTGGGACTTTTGAGAGAGAAGAGCACCATAACAATTCCCTCTAAACCCAAGGGCCCGGGAACCTCCACTGCCCTTGGGGAGGACACTGTGAGGAGTCTCCAAGGGTCTTGGGAGCCAGAGTGGAGGGTCCGCTGGCCTGTAAATAGATGGACATGACTGAAGTGGCCTCAGCAGGGTCAGTATAATCCTTAGATGGTGACCAGGGCCACAGGGCATGGATGCTGGAGGAATGGCAGCATCCCATTGTTTCTGGCATTGCCCTGGCATGACCTCAGGTTCAATCAAGTTCCAGGATGGGGAAACTGGGCCTCACATAACTGCAGAGCTTGGCTGCCTGGACTTGGTGGCTTCACTTGGTGGAAGAGTGTGGGTGACTGGTCAACCTATTAGGCCTTGCTGGTCCAGAGAGTTGTCCATTGGCAGGCAAAGGTGGAAGGGGCGAGTCATCCACTTACAGAGCACCTCATCTGTGCAAGGCAGGGGGATGCAATTCTGAACTTGTCAAGCCAGCTCGATGCTGCATGCCTACCTCTGCAGCCGAGCCTAAGAGCAGGGCTGGGAAAACAGGACTGGGACTGATTCTATTGCCCTCCCCACAACACCCTCTTGCCCTTTGCCCTCCTTATCCAGTGGTCCAGCACTTGCAGCCTTTGAGACACAGGTATAAGTAGCAGGCAGTTGCCGAGTGGGCAGCGGACATGCCCACCTCTACGCTCTGAAGAGAGGATGCCCGAAGCTTCTGGGAACTGGCCCCGTCAGAATGCTTGGGAAAGGGGTCCTGTGGAAGGGACCCGGCCCAGGCAAGCATACAGAACTGAGCTGTGATCCTAACCCAGCACACCTCTCCCTCCAGTACTCCCCACTTCTGAAGAAGCTGTACTGCCAGATTGCTAAGACATGCCCCATCCAGATCAAGGTGTCCACACCGCCACCCCCAGGCACGGCCATCCGGGCCATGCCAGTCTACAAGAAGGCAGAGCACGTGACTGACATCGTTAAGCGCTGCCCCAACCACGAGCTTGGCAGGGACTTCAATGAAGGTGAGCACCCCTTTCCACGGTGGGGCCCCAACCTCTGCAGCACCGTGGCCACCTGAAGGGAAACCCAGCCAGCAGCGCAGCTGAAAGACGCAGCCTGTGAGTGTAGGCTGGTGGTATTCCCCAAACTCCCTCGCTAGGAACTTTGAGTGGGAACCCTCACCCCTTCCCTCCGGGTCCATCTCCTCAGCTGACTGCAGTCCAAGAGGCTGATGCTCTAGCAGGGGTGTGGCTTTTGAGAAATCTTGTGAATGTTCATGCAGTGTTCATGGTGGAGGCTGTGACACCCTCACCATCAGAAGAGCCGGGAACAGCATCCCTCAGGCTCAAGGCCACCTGGATGAGGGTGGCACAGCTCTGGGCCTTGCCTGGGATTCTCACAGGGACAAGCCTCATGGTCTCAGCTCTGCCATGCAGCTGCTGCAGGGGTGGCAGACTGGAAGAGGCCACTCTCTAAAGCTGTGTCCCCTCCTGGCAGGACAGTCTGCCCCGGCTAGCCATCTGATCCGTGTAGAAGGCAACAGCCTCTCCCAGTATGTGGATGACCCTGTCACCGGCAGGCAGAGTGTGGTTGTGCCCTACGAACCCCCACAGGTAGGCTGGGGGCCAGACTGGGATACAAAGCCAACCTTACAGAGTGGGCTTCCCTGGGACACTGCTCTGAGCTCAGCCAGCCTCTTAGGGCCTTTTCCTGGCAGTTCATTTGTGATCACATACTGTGTGTACTGACCCTCAAGCTTGGGCTCCATTCAACTTCAGTTTCTGTCTGTCTGTCTGTCTACCTGTGTCTCTCTCTCTCAGTGTGTGTGTGTGTTTGTGTGTGTGTGTGTGTGTGTCCGTGTCCTCAGCAATATATCGAGGTATGGTCACACGACCTCTAAGCTTTCAGCCCTACCCTCTCAGGGAAGTCTAATCTTCTTACCCGTTTCTCTCAATGTCAGTACAGCCTTCCAGACATGGGAGTGAGAAAGAGTTCCTGAACATCTCAGACTCCACTAGAAGGGACAAAACCAAGCCAGGAAGCATGGGGTGGTGGGTAGAGGGTAGGGAATCCCATGCTCGGAGCTAGGAATCATGAAAGGGGTCCTGGAGCAGTCTGGGGGGTCACGGACGATGACTATAGGGGGCTGTGGCTGTGGGACATGGGCTCAGGAAGGTCGGGAAGACTGGAGTGAACGGTGAGTCTTCAGAAGGCGTGTGTGCAGAGCCTCAGAAGTGGAGTGCAAGATGGAGGTGGGGTACATCAGAGGTGGTGGCAGCAGCTAGATATGAGGTATGGGGGGGCGCTGTGAAGGCTCAGGCTGGAGGCAGAGGGCACAGACCAGAGGTGAGGGAACCAGGCTGGTGGTTGCAAAGTAGTCAAGTGATGAAACAGTGGAGGAGAGAGGTGTCCAGTTCTGGCAACAGAGGGTGTGTGCTCACCATTCTAGATCCGATATGAGGCCCTGTTGGGGCCAAAGGCAAGGTGGGGGAAGCTGAACACAGGAGTGACTTTGGGTGGTATCAGGGCAGATTCTGAAGAAGACAGCAGACTGAAGGTCTCATCCCTGTGCTGACATGAGGGCCGTCCTCTACCCGGTCCTGCAGGCCTGTGAGGCAGCTCTTCATGTCAGTAGGACAGGGCCCAGGGGTGGGCACGCACACACCAGCACCCTCCCCTTTCCTCAGAGGAGGCCTCACCGGCTCAGGCTTTCAGGCAGCGTAGGATTCTTTTGCCCTCTAGTGGCTGCCAGGTGCAAGTTCTAGGAAGGGCAGAACCCAGGACAGCTGTCTGAAACCAGAGCCAGCAGAGTGCTATGAAAGCACAGATGGATCACTTGGGGGGCAGGCAACCCCGAGTGAGTGTATGGATGGGTGGGTGGGTGGATGTGGGGTGGTCAGGCAAGCAGGTGGGTGGTGGGCAGGAGGGTGGTGGGCAGGCATGGAAGGGGGTGGCTAGATGGATGTGTGTGTAGGCAAGTGAATAATGTATGGGTGAGTGGATGAATGGGTGAGGTGGACAGGCAGGTGAATGGGTAGACATGTGGGTGAGTGTGTGGGCAGGTGGGTAGGTAGATGGACAGGTGGGAATGTGGATGAGCAGGCGGGCATGTAAATGGATGGGTGAATGGACGGACAGACGGATGGATGGACAGATGGATGGATGGGAAGAGGGCTTGATAGATGGCAGGTAATAAGTGGAGAGGTGGGTGGATGGGTGCAAAGGCAGGAGTTATAGTTGGTGGGTGGCTGGGTGGACAAATGGGTAGATGATAAGAGAACCACAGTGCAGCATGCCATGCCCACCCAGAACCAGGGCCAGATGTGGCAGCTAGAAGTCCTTTCTCCAGAAGGTGGGGCCTACGTGCTTACACTAAGGCCTTTCCTGCCTCTCCTGTGGACAGGTGGGAACAGAATTCACCACCATCCTGTACAACTTCATGTGTAACAGCAGCTGCGTGGGGGGCATGAATCGGAGGCCCATCCTCGTTATCATCACCCTGGAGACCCGGGAGTGAGTCTGCGGTGACAGGATGGTGGAGGTGGGGCAGGGACTTGGGCCAGCACTGTGGGGGGCATGTCACGGACACCGGGAGGGCTGGCTCTCCTCGAAGAGCACTCAGCTTCAAGCCCAGTCCTGTGGGGTCTGCAGGAGGTAGACAGGCTCAGGAGAGGTCCCTGGAGCTCACAGTTATGCTGTGCCCACCCAACAGTGGACAGGTACTGGGCCGCCGGTCTTTCGAGGGTCGCATCTGTGCCTGCCCTGGCCGTGACCGCAAAGCTGATGAGGATCACTACCGGGAGCAACAGGCCCTGAATGAGAGTGCCACAAAGAATGGGGCTGCCAGTAAACGTGGTGAGTGGGGCTCGGGGCCAGGACACGGTAGAGGGGGGGTCATCCGCAGATGCAGTTGGACACACTCGGTGTGAGCAGGCGTGCCACCCCAGAAGGGCACCATCCAGGGGATGGATCTGGGTCTGAATGGCCTAGGCCTGGAAGCCTCCCTGGCTGAACGAGGCTACTGTTACCCATCTCGCTTGTCTCTATGCTCTGAGGCTGGGGCCGTGCAGGACCCTGTGCCCAGATCCTGCTGGCCTAGGTTTGCACCGATGCTACACCTAGGGCAAGTGTTCGCCTGGCACCTCAGCCTTTGCTCGCCGGCTCACGTGTCTTCCCTGACCTGCCCTCCAGCATTCAAGCAGAGCCCCCCTGCCATCCCTGCCCTGGGTACCAATGTGAAAAAGAGGCGACATGGGGATGAGGACACATTCTACATGCATGTGAGTGGGCGCGTGGCTATCACAGCGGGCTGGGAGGACAAGGCCTATGTCCCCATCACCCAAGAGCCCAGGTTGGGGGATTCCAGACGCCACAGGAATTGGGCAAAGGTAGACTCCTGACAGCTGAGGATGGAGACTGTGGCCTTGAAGAAGTCAGGGTTCAAGGGAGGCTCTGTTTAGAGTCAGATCCTGCGGGGCCTGAACAGTGTGAACAGGCTGGCCAGGTTAGCTTTGCATCAGAGAGACCCAAGGATGATCACACAGTGGAGATTCGGTAGGAATCCGTGACCCTCTAGGGTCTAGCCTACATGACTTGTTGAGCACTGGAGAGTGCTGATACCATGGCGTACCGAATGCTTTCTATTTCCTTGAGAGAGAGTCCTGCCTTAAGACCTATATAAGCTGACTGGGAGGAGGAGAGACACTTAGGAAGATGAATGGGCATGCTTCCTGAACCCCTAGGGACCCCCTTCCTAGACCTGCCCCCTGGAAAAGGAAAGCCAGAGTATCCCAAGCATTGGGGTACTGGGGAGCCCCGAAAGAAGAGCAGGCTTTGGCTGCCCACCTACCACCAGAGGTTTGGGGCCAGGGAAGGGGGTCTCCCGGCCCCCTGGGCAGAAGGTCTGCCTCTCTGTGCCCAGGTGCGAGGCCGGGAGAACTTTGAGATCTTGATGAAAGTCAAGGAGAGTCTGGAACTGATGGAGCTTGTGCCACAGCCTCTGGTCGACTCCTATAGGCAGCAGCAGCAGCAGCTCCTGCAGAGGCCGTGAGTGAACCCCAACATCTGGGTGAAGAAGGGGGGATATTCCTACCTGGCGGGGAGAAGGCCAGGAGCATAGGAGGTATGGGGCACTGGGCTGGAGAGCAGGACCATGGCAGCTCAGTGCTTAGCTGGCACCCCTTCCAGAAAGCCTTCGGGGACTTAGCCTGCCCTGGGATCCTAGGTCCCCATCTTCAGCACACTTCTGCCTCCCACCAGCCTTAGAAATCTTGATGGGGCATTGGGGCGGGGGCGGGATGGCTGCTAAGGCTGGTGAGGTGTTAGCCTTCCTGGTAGCTCTCTGAGAGGCAGGGTCTTCATCTACCTGCATCCACAGAGGTGCCAGGCAAGGGAGGAGTTGCTTTTGCCTCTTGTGAATGCACACTGTTGCTCCCCAAGCAGGAGTCACCTGCAGCCTCCATCCTACGGGCCTGTCCTCTCCCCGATGAACAAGGTACACAGTGGCGTCAACAAGCTGCCTTCCGTCAACCAGCTGGTGGGCCAGCCTCCCCCACACAGCTCGGCAGCTGGGCCCAACCTGGGGCCCATGGGTGAGTCTTTGGGGCCGTGGAGGCCTCGTGTGGGCTGCAGAGACCCAAGCAAGGGCCTGGTTGGATTTACAAAGATCACAAACAGGAGTGATGGGGGCTCTTGGTGGCTGCCTCTCCCTGCAGGTCCAGCCAGGTGGAGGGCAATGGCTTTGGGGATGTGGGCTATGTTCACTCCAACCCCAGGAGTACTGTGCCTGGGGGTTTGCAGAGGTGGTATAGTTGAGAACACATGCCTGTCCTCTCTCCTGATAGCCACAGGGGCTTGGGGATCTCTAGCTTCATTCAGCCTCAGTTTCCCCATCAGCAAAACGGCACTACGAGGTCCCCTCATTTCAAGGGTTACAGGACCAGAGACCTCGTTGGGGCAGCTGTAGGGAGATAGGCAGAGTGGAGTGTGGGGTCCTCTGAAAGGTCACGTGGCCACAGAAAGGCACACTCCTGACACTGAGCAACACCTCCAGCGGTGTCCCCGATAAAGACCTGGGACCTGGCAACACTTAGGTGCCAGCTGCCAATCCCTGGCTCACTTAAGCTAGGTGCCCTGTACACAGCCACTTCCCACTTGTACCTCTCAGAGAAAAGAGCTGGGCCTAGGGGCTCAGCCCTTGCTCAGCCTCAGACCGCCCTGACAACGCTGTGTCACACTGCCAGGCTGGACCGCAGCCTGGGACACCTTCCACTGTGCAGGGTTGAGCTCACATTCCTGGACCCCCTCTTCTGCCCAGGCTCCGGAATGCTCAACAGCCACAGCCACGGCATGCCGGCCAATGGCGAGATGAACGGAGGCCACAGCTCCCAGACCATGGTTTCAGGATCTCACTGCACCCCGCCACCCCCTTATCCTGCAGATCCCAGCCTTGTCAGGTGTGTGGGCTGCGGCTGGACCTGAGTTTGTGCTGCCTGCCCTTCCTCCCCTCCCCCTCTGTTTAGTTCCTACTGGAGAGAGCAGCCTTGCATGTGGCTCTGTCTTATCCTGTGTTTTAGCTGCTTGGCTGGCCCAAGAGAGGACAGGCTGAGATGGTCATGGCGTATGGTGAGCCCTGGCTCATCAGCAGGTGCTGGGAGAGAGCCTTAGAAAGAAGGTCACTTGAGCCAGGACTCCTCTGTTGAGACACTGCTGGCTGGCTACACCTGCTCCTAGAGACCAGCAACGTAACCCACTGTGACAGGCAGCCTCCCCCCCACCCCCAGCAGAGCCACTCCTGTGAGGCCTGAGCTCACCATCCAGCATGGTGAGTTAATGCTACTTTCTCAAATTCTCTCTGCAGCTTTTTAACAGGACTGGGGTGTCCGAACTGTATTGAGTGTTTCACCTCCCAGGGGCTGCAGAGCGTCTACCACCTGCAGAACCTCACCATAGAGGTAAATGTCCAGTCTTCCCCATGGGGTGGAGGGCCTGGCCCAAGGCAGAGTGCACCGTCTAGCGTGGATAGCTGGGGAAACACCCAGAGCCTTTCCCACAAGCCCTGTTCTGAAGTCAGCAGGCTCGGGCAACGTGAAGAAGGCTGGCTGGACACGTGTCCCGGTCCCTGGGGGTGACCTGGAGGGCTTTCTCTCTTGTTAAAGCCTCCTGGTGCCCCAGCCAGGCTTCCTTTGATTTCGTAGGCTGGGCTGTTTCAAGGACCCAGTTGCTAAGAAGTGCAGGAGCAGGGGAACAGGCCTAGAAGGAATAAATGGGGCTCCAAGGCCAGCCTACACATAGGGCACTGAACATTCGGGATAGAAATCCTCCGGACATCAAGACCAAAGCCCCGGCATCCCATTCCAACCTAGCAGCACAGTCAGCCCTGACTGGTCCGAGAGACAGCCTCAGGGCCCAGGGTGCTTCAGCTCACATCTCCTGTCCTGGCCACTATTTTCTATACTCTCACCCAGGCCGAGTTAGAGACCAGTCCATATCCAGACAGTTAGAGACCTGTCCCCTGCCCAGGCACCCAGGCTGGATACAAAGACTTACCAGAGGGGGTGGGGCCAGTTCCCACCATCCTGCATCTCGGTAGGCAGTGACTACCTCTCCCTCACTTTGAGCCACACAGTAACCCTTGTTTCACTAGTGCTTGAAGCAAAGAGATGAGCCTGGAGCAGCTGTCAACTAACAGGTGCCAAGGGGCAGCCCGAGGTCCGGAGACGGGTGGTCTCTCCGGCCTCCATCTCTGTTCTCACTGTGCTCCAGGCCCCAGGCTCCACACAGCCTCAGAGGGGGCTTTCATCACCATCCCCTTCCATCCCCACCATCCCCACACACGTCATTCAGCTGTCTCACACAATATGTGGCTAGACACTATGTGCAGGCAGGTGACCCTGCTGCTGCCGCTCCCTGGGCTGTTCTGTCATCTGCCTTGCCATGGCCTAATAAGTCAGTGGCCCCTAAAGCAGAGGCTTCCTTGCAGGTAGGACATCCCTGCCCTGGGGGACACACAACCCTGTAGCTTCCCTTTTGGAACCCTGAGGTGGCCATCGCTCTTGCAGGACCTCGGGGCCCTGAAGATCCCTGACCAGTACCGAATGACCATCTGGAGGGGCCTGCAGGACCTGAAGCAGAGCCATGACTGCGGTCAGCAGCTGCTGCGCTCCAGCAGCAACTCAGCCACCATCTCCATCGGTGGCTCTGGCGAGCTGCAGCGACAGCGGGTCATGGAAGCCGTGCACTTCCGCGTGCGTCACACCATCACCATCCCCAACCGCGGAGGCCCGGGTGGAGTGACAGGCCCTGACGAGTGGGCAGACTTTGGCTTTGACCTGCCTGACTGCAAGTCTCGTAAGCAACCCATCAAAGAGGAGTTCACAGAGACAGAGAGCCACTGAGGAGCGTGCCTTCTCCTCCCTTCCTCCGTGAGAAACTGTCCTGGGGAGGCTGTGCCCACAGACGCAGCCAGGGCCTCCTGCCGATGGGATGTGGCTCATGAACAAACTGCCCTACCTACGTGTCCATGGGGCCTGGCTGTGGGCCAAAGGCTGAGACAGGGGCTGCCCTTTTGTGGGTGGGTGTGTCAGTCCCCATCCTCTACTCCCCTTCTTTCTTGAGGACTCTGCCACCTCCAGGACAGAGCGAGATCCCTCTCTCACTTAGCCACCTCCGGTTCCCGAGAGCTGCGGGCAGCTGGGCCACCGTGTCTTCTGCACCATCTGCAGGCTGATTCCACTGTCTTGAAGGTGAAGTCAGTCAGAGCCAGATGTCCTCTGTAGGATGTGGAGAAGGCTCTGTCCCTGTGCCATTCTGCTGTTCCTGATGAGAACAGGTCAGAGTCTCAGGTGCTGGGGTTGGGGGAGACCGGCAGAGCAGAGGGAACGTCTGCCATCAGCCTCCACCCAGCACCCCAAACATGCTGGCCACAGCTGCCTCCAGGGACCCCTCTGGGCATTCAGAGGGACCGAGTGAGACTCAGACTGTTGAGAATTAAATTGTCAATATTTGATAAAACGTTACTCTTTCTACTTGGTGGGTCGGCTTGCTTTTTTCCTCCTCTAACTTTCCCAGCATTCCTCTCTGAGAACTTAGTGTATCACTGGCTTTTCCATCCACACTTGTCAACAAGTCTGAGAAAAGTGTCAAGCCAGGGAGGGCTGGATGCAGACAAGCCTTAGAGAGTGCAGGCATGGGAAGGCAGGCCGTAGCCCAGCTGGGACAGGAACGTCTGTTCTCCCCAGGCGGAGTGCTCAGAGTCTCCTCCCTGGGGTAGACCTGGGGCAGCTGCTGGGGGCCCCGGCCTTCACCATGCACCCCAAGGAGTGAGTGGGGTTGAGGGAGGGAGGGCCCTCCCTACCTGCCAGAAACTCTCTCAACTTGTGCAAGACGAGCCCCGGGCAGGCCCTGCCAGGAGTGGAGGACCACAAGGGAGCCCAGGTGCCGGGAAGCCCAGCAGGCTGCCAGGGATCTGTGGAGCCATTCCTTGCAGGCCTGGCTTTCCTTAGAGTGGCTCAACAGAGGCAGGGAGGCCCAGAAAAGGACTATATAGTCACCACTCCCTGGGCTGCCTCCTGCAAGCGCAAGGGCAGATGCTTCTAGCTGTAGCAGGCTCTGTAAACCACCCATACCAAGCTTCATGAGACTGAGGGGCAGGGTTTGGGCGCACTTGGGTGCAAGCATCATATTGCCAGAGGCCAGGGAGACCATGAAGGCCCTTCCAACTGGTTAACAACCTAGCCTCTGGGGGTCCCAGAATATTAGGCTTGCGCCAGATGGGCCGTAGCAGCTGCAGCATCAGGCTTAGAGCTTCCTGGGGACAGGGTGTGGCCATCCTGGCACGTTAACACACCTCACAAAGCCTGAGGGTGAGTACACACTTCTTGTTGTTGCACAGATGAGGAAACTGAGGCAACACAGACTGATTCCCTGCCTCAGGCTTCAGCCCCTGGCAGAGGTGGGTGCTTACCCCTGAGGCACATGCTGCCTCATCATGCTACCTCAGGAGTCCTGCAGCACATCCTTGCTTCTAGGCCTGTAACCCCACTGAGATGTGCTTGAGTTCTGGGAGTATGTTCACAAGAGTTCACAAGAGTATGTCTCGGGCATTGTCCATGGGGGCCCGTCTGAAGGACCCCACCGCATGCTCCTGGGAAGGCTTAACAGGAGTGGCTTAAAGGTGGCTGTCACCAGACATCTGAGGAAGGAAGAGCCCCTCTCCGGTAAGGACCCAGAACTGAGTGTCTCCCCAGACCCCAACTCAAGTGCCAAAGCTGATATGCTCAGGGGGAGCTTTTAAGGACCATTTGCCAGAAAGTAAATGTCACAAGATCAAGCCTTGCCACAGCTGTGAGCACGTGTAGCTTTCCAGGAACCAGGCTTTGAGTCTGAGCCAAACTTTGTTCTGCAAAACACAGGAAACAAGAGGAAGCAAAGCCTTCAGTCACCAGCTTTCCTAGGAGCACTGAAGCGGTAGTCTGAAAGTGAGTTTGGGGGTGCCCTAGAAGACACCTGTTGAAAAGGGCAGGTACCTCAAGGCTGGACAAGCAAGCTGCTCCAGCCTCAGCCCCTGTGGTCCCAGGAAGCTAGCAGCATCCAACTAGCAGCAGCTCTGCTTACCACGCTGGCGCTGTGCACCACTCCTGGCAGCTCTGCCTGGGCCTGCTTTGTGGGCACACTGAGTTTGTGGCACCAGCACCCAACCCCTGTGCAAGAACCCTTTGAGGATCAAAAGGCTGTCAGAGGTCAGAGGCTACTCTGAACAGCATTTCAGGCAGAAGACAAAAAAAGAAAGCAAACTGTCCATGTCTCAACGTGATGAAATGTTTCTCCAGGCAGTATTGATGGTGTAGTCCAACGATACTATTAACTGTTTTGGGTAATGTCATCTTAGAAAAATGTGTTATTTTTTTAGCTGTGTTTTGGTGGGATTTTTGTCTTTATAATTTAATAAAAATCACATGTTCCCATGACTGGCTCTTGTAACTAACCTATCTCCTGGGCTTGAGAGGTGCATCATGAGAATGTTCAAGCCGAGCACAGGCAGGCAGGAAGTGTGTGAGCGCACACTGGCCCAGCAGCACCCCCTGAAACATCTGCACCATCCTGCAATTGTGCGAGAGTCCTGTGGGCAGGAAGGGGGCACCCTAAGTGATGTGCAGTTGGCATATCTACCGTCTCGGCGGGACTCACAGGGAGGGTCTCCTGCTGCCCCACCCACCCTTCGCTGCCACTCAGGCCTCCTGTGGCTCTCAGATTTCTTCTTTTTCAGCCTGCTGATGTGTCTTAGCAAAAATAAGGTTTTAAGAAGCTTTGAGGGAGGCCCGAGACTTCTAAGAGTCTAAGACTTCTAAGATGAGGTTCAGAGCAAGATAAGAAAGGGTGAGGTAAGATGGAGAGGGACCCACATTCCTCCTCACCTCGCCAGTGCAGCTGCCAGTGCAGAAACACGGCAGTTCTAGGGTCTCCATGCTAGCTGCCCTGCACAGGTGAGACCAAGTGAGGAGCAGTGCCCTGGCTGTGGCCCACACTGCTGTATTTGACCCTTGTTTACTCACACTCTATACAATGACCAGCTTGTTCCCTCCTCAGCCCTGTGGAGGGCTGAAGGAGATGCACTATAGCAGCACACACACACACACACACACACACACACACACACACTGAGTGTGAAACTCTGATCTAAAGCCTTTGTGACCCTGAGAATAGAGAGCCAGATACTATACCATTATCGAGACTTAGTGTGATAAATTACTACACACTGTGAGGGTCCCAGTGCTATGTGCTCTGTCACTCATACACCTAACGAAAAGGGTTTAATATGATCAGGATAGCCAATGCTTGGGTAAATTCTAGGAGATCTGTGGCCCATGACATCTCAGAGCCAATCTATCAGCTCTTTCTCTGGTTCCCTGATCCTAGAAGGGTTTAGCTATTCTGCTGAACTGGATAAAGAATCCAGATCCAGCGAAGTCCTGCTGCGCCCATGAGGGCCCCTTCTGGCTGCGGTCTCCATAGTTAAGTTTAGACCTTTACTGTGTGATTCATTTCACAGCCTAGGTGGACCTACACCAAGACCTACACCTTTTGTGAAGAGATTTGAGCCTTTGAAAGAGAAACCTTTTACCTGTTATAATGTTATATCTGTTTCTGAAGAGTTAGGATGGCATCTAAATGATGTACATATGGAAAGAGACTATTTCCAAGGTGATATTTAGGGGTATGACAGGTCTCTTGCTAGGGTCTGTACATAAGGCAGGGGCTAGCCTAAAAACCCTGAGGTAAGACAGTATCTGGGAGCTGCTGAACAACCTGGGAAAGGGGGCCCCGCCATTACAAGGAAAATAGGAACTGGGAACGTGGCCACGCAGGAATCTGAAAGAAAGCCTCTCTTTTGATCTAGCACCTTGCCTAAGAGGTGCTGGCAGGCGTCTGTCCCAAGAGGATGTAAGGATTGGGACCTACAGAACAAATGAAAAACATAGCCTCGTTCATGGTCCTCAGGTCCTGGACTATTCCTTAGCATCCATCTGACTTCTTTCCTGCTGAGGCAGGATGTTTCCCAGAAGGTTACAAGGGTACAGAAGCCCACCAACCAGGAAGCCACCGAGAGAGACTACCAGCTTTTCTGTGCCTCAAGTTTTAAAGGATATTGGGGACTTTAGGGAAGTTTGTCATTAAGTGTAGTTGCATCTTTCAGTGAGCATCCAGGAATTCGGGCAGCATCTCAGATGTCAGAGGGAGTTTGTCCTGGTGAAGTAGAGACATACAGCGAGGGTCCTTGAGTACCAGGTGGCTCCAAGCCATTACAGGACAGAGTGTCAGGAGAGCCTCTGGACTCTCAAAAAGCCTTAACTGGACTTGACATTTAGATCTGGCATCTCGCCTAGGAGGAGAATGGTGAAGGAAGGGTAGACCAGATAGGAAAAGACAGTGAAGAGATGAAGGTCTGTCCTACCGGTTACAATGGGTGTAAATCAGTATCAGTGAGGATGAAGATCAAACCAGAAATGGTGAGGGTAGAGAAGTCACTCCATGTCAATAAAAATTGTAATGTCAGTCTCTGCCACATCTAGGATTAGTGGAGGTTCGTAAAAAGAGATAATAAACATCAGGATCTGTGTGGCCTTGGGCTTCCCTCCATCCTCACAGACAGGGGACCTCCTTCCTCACTGGACTGCTCATACTCTAGGAACAAAGTCAGGGTTGTCTGCATTTTCAGTGTTGACATGAGCTGATGACCTGGGGTGAAGGCTGGCTGTTGTACAGGGCTATCCTCTGAGGCAAACCTCCACCATCTTCAGGAGGCCAGCTGAACCTTGCTTACCCAAGACCGTCACAGCCAGGTTTGTTGACTGTTGACCATTTTTTTCCTGGAAGGAGTGTGTAGGGAGACTCATGAACCCCTCCCAATCATCTGTGTGCAATTCTGACCAAAACTACTGTGGCCTCGGCATACTGAGGCTCCATCAGCACAGCCATGGTGAAGCCATCATCCCTGCTGGGTGCAGATCTTCCATTGTGACTGCTTGAAGGTCACCTGTGCCCCTGACCACAGCCCCCCCCCATCACCCTCCCTGTAAGAAGCCCTAATGAACTCTGGTTCTCCCAGTGAACTCTGCTGGACTCACACCTCAGTTTGTGGCTGGGACTTTTGGAGGAGGGACACATGTTCGTGTCTCCCCTGGGAAGAACTTTCAGCTGCACTGGCTTTCCCACAGGAGAGAGGAGTGGCATCTTCACTTCCAGTCTGTCTTGACTTTGAAGTCTGGATATGGATGTAGGAGGGGTTTGTGGCCTAGTGGTTTGGGACACTGACAGTTGTTCTTTGAGACTGGACCAGGTGGCCACTAGATGGGGTGGTAGGATTTCCTGAGAAGGGCAGGGATGCAGCTGTGTGCTAAGCTTGCCATGAATCGCTTTTCTTCCCTAGCTCCGCCTTTCTGACACTCCAGGTCTCTTCCTCATTATTGAAGACTTTGAAAGCTGTGCCTAATAGAGCGGGGAAGGAATTTGGGGCTCTGGGCTGGTTTTGAAGCTTCTCTTCCACTGAGCGAATGTGAAGGTGATGATGGAGCCCTTGGGGCCAGTCCCAGCCCAGGTGCCAGGAGAACTTTGCCTGGTCACCGAGGGTCCTGGTGTCAGGTAGCCAAGGCTGGTAGGCCTGCTGGACAGCAGAGGTGTGAGGCTTGGTAAGGTCTGTGTGGGCCTCCAGCCATCCCCAGCTTC